TTTAAGCCTGTAAAAATTTACACGAGTTAGCTGCAAGAAACAAAAAAAATATGGCAAAGGCAAAAGGAATTAGATTTTTTCCATATTTTTGGGAGGGTCACAGGCTGTGAGCAACAAAAGGAAAAAATGAAATGAAATGAAATGAAATAAAAGAAAAGAAAAGAAAAAATAAATAAATCAATAAAAAACAAAAACTTAAAACCACTTTGCCAACTGCTCAACAAAAAAATTCAAAAGCAAAAAGAAATATGATTTTTTCCATTTGCCATATTTTTTGGAGGGTCACAGGCTGCAAACAGCAAAGGAAAAAAAATGAAAAAATAAATAAATTGAAGGCTTGAAGGCCACAAGAAATTCAAAATCAGTGTTTATGCAGCTTTCTGCATCTGAAATTTCCCCAAGAAACTTTCATTTTGCAGCCTGGGGGTCATTTTTGGGGCGGAGATCCGCGGGTATCCGCGCGGATACCCGCCAGGGCAAGCGGGTATCCGCCAGAGGATGCGGATGCGGATGCGGATGTCTGATTTGGCTGAAAACGTGAGCGGATATCCGAATCCAAACGGATATCCGGATGCGCCGGGCCCATCTCTAGTTATTTTTCGAGTTTTTTTTGAATTTTTAAAGTTGTTTCCTACACTTTAAAAGGTGTAGAATTTAATGTTAAAAAAGATTTTCCATAAAAATGAATTTTGATTATTAATTATATTTTTCACTCATTTCTCAATACATTGTTTGCATACATGTATGTACCTTATTTTTTATGATTTTTTGAAAGTTTAAATTTATTTCCTAGGTTTTAATGTGCGTAGAATTTAATGGTGCAATTCAATTTCTTTAAAACTCAACGGTTCACTTTTAATACTCAAATTACACACTTTTTTCACTTCATTTTTTACAGCTTAATTTTCATTATTTTTTGACATTTAAAATTTATTTCCCACACTTTAAGACATGTTTAAAATGATGGTAACAATCATTTTGCATAAAAACAAAAGATTGGTAATGAATACTGCGTTGGACAGGGTTTTTTTGATGTTTTTTTAATTATTTTTACCAGCTCAATTTTAATCACTTTTTGAAATTTTAAATCTATTTCCTACATCTAAAGGTGTTTAGAATTTAATGGTAGAATTCATTTTTCCTCAAAATAAAAGCTTCAATCTTAATATAAGAGTGTACACCGTTTCTTGCATAATTTGTACTTTATACAAATTTTATTTGAATGCAAAATGGATACAGCCAACAACTTTAATGCCTTTCAAAGTGTAGGAAATGAACTTGAAATTCCATAAAATAAGGATAAATAAGCGTGTAAGAATTAATTAAAGAAACATATCAAAGGCTTTATTCAAGGTACAGTTTTTATTTTGATGCTAATTGATTGATACCATAGTTTTATACATGTCTGAAAGTGTAGTAAAAAAATTGAAAATGTCAAAAAATCATGAAAATTAAGCTCTTAATTAAAATCATTTGAATTATAAGGCTGATTACAGTATTCAGAATGAACCGTTAAGTTTTATGGAAATTGAATGTTACCATTAGACTCTAAACACTTTGAAATGCAGGAAACAACTTTGAACTTTCAAAAAAAGCATAAAAAATAAGGTAAAAAAAACTAATGCAAACAATTGAGTGAAAAAGTGAAAAATTAAATAAAAAAAAAGGTGTGAAATGCAGTATACAAGATGTAGTTCTCATTTTGGTGCAAAATGATTTTTACCATAAATTTACATATGTCTTGAAGTGTGGGAAAAAAGTTTAGAATGTCAAAAAAGAATGAAAATTAAGCTCTATAAATTTAAGTGAAAAAATGGGTGTAATTGCATCATTAAAAATGAACCATTCATTTTTATGAAAATTGGATTGCGCCATTAAATTCTACGCACATTAAAACCTAGGAAATAAATTTAAAATTTCAAAAAAACATAAAAAATAAGGTACATACATGTATGCAGACAATTAATTGAGAAATGAGTGAAAAAAAATAATTAATAATCAAAATTCATTTTTATGGAAAATGGTTTTTACCATTAAATTCTACACCTTTTAAAGTGTAGGAAACAGCTTTAAAAATTCAAAAAAACTCGAAAAATAACCCATAAAAAATTAAATACAAAACCGTGTTTAAACGCGGAAACCGTGTCCGCTGTGCCGCAGCAAAACCGCGTGTAAACACGGAAAAACCGTGTTTTTTTATTAATGCCCAACATAAATGGATGGCCAACTCCCAAAGTAATTGGCCATCCATTTGGAAAAACAACTCCCAATTAATGTCAAACAACCATCAACAGTGGGCCATTACGCTACACTACGCTAAACGGCCCACTAACATTGGCGTGGCGGCCCTCAGAACAGCGCGCCAAACCTGTAGTGTTAGCGCACCATTAGTGCCACTACGCTGCGCTACAGCGCTTCTAGCGGCAAAAACGGCCAAAAAAACCGCTAAAATGCGCTGTAGCGCAGCGTAGTGGGCCCTTTTTTGCGGCCCACACACGTAGCGTTAGCGCAGATACAGAAATCTGCGCTAACACTACGTTACAATGTAGCGTATTTGCGCTACACTACGCTAGGCTAACACTACCGTTAGCGTAGCTGGCCCAGTGTTGCAACCATATTTGTGAGTTGTCAACAAATCCTTGGGAGTTGTTTTTCCAACCCCCTTACCCCCTTCAAAAAAGGGGCACTTTGTGACAAAATTCAATCCAGAGAATGTGACCTCCAACTTATGGGCTTGGATTGCAATCATGTGAATCTGGTGTAGAGGATCAATAAGTATTGAAAACCAAGACTACCTAGATAGACTCACATTGATTGTATCTCCATTTTATATTTCTCCCATAGGATTCTCTGCCAGTCACATCCAAAAATTTAGCAAAAGCTCTGTTCAAGATTCTATTGTAATGGAAAATTTGAAAATATTCACCAAGTGCTTGTGGCTATTAAACCTGAGGGATTTAGAGAATCTAGTCTTTGAAGGAACTCAAATCACCTATGTTCAGAGACAAAATGATTTCATGGAATGGTTCTAATTAGGTTTCAGCATGAAGTGCAAAAGAAATATTCCAATATGCACAGGAGAATTCAAGTGTGAAAGGAAACTGTGTCATGAAAGCATAGAAGCATATCTTTATCAGAAAATATGGAAATCAATTCATGCCTCTGGAAATATGAAAACCCATTAAGTATTTTGATGAACTGCCTTTTTATCCTATTATTATATCAATGAAACAATTTTTAATGAATTAAGAAAGTGCACATTTTCTTGGATTTTACTACAAAAACACAAATATCAAAAAGTGGAACTCAATTTTTGGAACAGATGGCATTTTTTGTTCTAAAATTGCACATTTTGGGACAAATTGGGAAGACAGAAAGATCCCAAGACCCAACCAAGAATTTTCAAGTGAAGATATTGGCCACCTGGTCCCATGGAAAGAAGACTGCTCATCAGAATCATTGGGTTATTTTCAAAACATCTGAAGTATGAAATAATTAACACTGTTAAAGCTATAAAGCCAATTCTTCATGGCAATGTACTGATTCTATCCAAACTACCAGTATTTGAAGCAAGGAAGAGATTTTTATTGAAAGAGCAAAATGAAAGGCTGTGGGGATGGCTCACAAGGTTTAAATAGCACAGCTCTGTCCAAATCCCAAAATCATTTGAGAATTTCAAAGCAGAATCTATCATGCAATCACTAAAGTGATATCTTGAAAACTCAAGAAAATTTGTTTTTTATCAAGACAAACATTATTTGTAAATCTGGCAAGAGATTTTTGGCTGTCTTGGATATGTTTTTTGAAGCTTTTTGGAGAATGAACTTGTAAATACTTGAAGCTTTTGGTACTACTACAGAGATCTTTGAAGAGGTTTTTTTCAAGGAACAAAAATTGCTTCAAATTTATTTCGAATTCATCTTTTGTAATGGAGATGCAAATAAGAAAGTTGTTGTTCCCCAAAATATTCTACTTGATAAAAATTTATCAAATTATTCTTAGAGATACAATGTAAACTCAGTTAGTTTGATGATGAATTTGTTCCTTTTAGACAAAAACAAACCAAATTATAAGGTCAAATCAAATGGGATAAAGTCCAAGGAAGTCTCATTGATCTCAGAAGAAGAAATCATTCTGACAAAGATTGCAGTGAATCTACTTGGGTCTTATTACAAGAATCAGAATCTAGAAAAGTGGGATAAACTTTTTGAAGATGATCAAGAGTTCATGATCATTTTGATCAAATTCCATTCTAATTCTTTCTTTTGCTCTTGTCTCTCTCCAACCAGTAAAAACTACCACCAATTAAAAGCATTATAGCTGATCCTATGGATCCAAATATTATCCAAGAAATTTTCAGGATGTTTCCCCGAGATTGGTTTGCCACCACAAATGAAGATAAATTTGTGGGTGAAGTTGTTAGAAGAGGATTTTTGGAACTATGTTTCTCAAACTCTTTGTGCTGTCAAATTTATCTTACAAGATCTAGACATTTTTGTGCCAATATGTAAAATTCAGTTAGAGCTCACTGTTTCCCTTCCTTCCTAGTCTGAATTCTGGCAAGAAAAGTAATAACAATCACAACACCTGTATTACTTGGCATCCAACACACACCTCAGCTTTATGTTCAAAGTGGAAGCATTGCATAGGCCTTACTGCAGTAACCATATATATTATTATTCTGCCAGTACATGTTGACAAATTGCAGCCTACCAAGAAATTGCTCCAGCTTTCTTTTAGAATGAACCCTTGTGACTTGCTGCGGCAAGTCTAGGACATAATCATGGGTTTATGTAGTTTGTACATGCAGTGATATGCATTTATTTACTACTCGTGAGTCGTGCGTGAAATAAATAAATAAGTTGAGATCCGTTGAAATCGACTGGAGTCTGGGTTGCCGAAATTGTATTTCACGTGAGTTGAGAAGTCTGTGGATCCTTGCACAATCGGAGATCGGGATTATGTAATGTGATCCTTGTCATCTTCTGCCATATCTCATCTTGACAATTCCCAAATTCCTCACTGAAACAGTCAAGACATCTCCAATCAGAAACACCTCAACCTGTTGACCATTTCCACTCGCGCGGTCTACCCTCAACCATTTGACTCAACCCAACTCAATCAAGCAATCTCACTCAAGCCCTACCGCATAGATGATCGACCATCTACTTGGTCGGCCGTCTCCCTCTTGGAGAAGGACTCAGGTCATTCTGGTCCTACTCTTCTGGGCATGGAGACTGAGATCAGGTGACCCTGGAGGACCGGCTGGAGTAAAACAGTTAAACAACAGATTCAGTTAAGTCTCTCCTTCCTCCCATTTCACCAACAGACCTGTTGATTGTCATCTGTCTGCCTTCTCTTGCTCACACATTTGATTTTCTCCTTCACAGAAAGATTCTCCCCATGGCAAATTTCTGTTACCCTGCTTACTTGCCTCTATGGTATACGTCATTGGGATACGCTGGTCGGCCTTGCTGGTGAGTCAAACTATCTTTCTGCTGGCTCGAACGATTTGATGAACTCATGCTTGGACGACCCATGATACAATCAATCTGAGGTTAGCTCCAGAGCCTCTGGCAAGACTCTATTCTCGGGGTTTCTATCGTGCAACGTGGATTAATACCGCGCTTGACGCTGGTTTCGCGACTGCTGCTCCTATCCCACTGAAATGGCTTCGGGATCTTCTCAGTGTTCTCTTTAGTGGTTATTATCTGATATACGCCAACGAAGCTGATGAAAAGCTGCGGAGGTACCGTGCGGTACCCACGGTGAGTGTTTTTTTCCATGGAAGCTTCATTGAAATCATCCTTCCAAATGTTCCCACAGCATGGAATTCCTCATTCAAATGGTCCTCAAATACCCATAATTGCGTCACCATGACTTGAATTTCATGACTGCTTTTATGCCTAAATTGCTTACTAATAACGATTTTTTTTTTCTTTTTTTTGGGGGGGGGGGGGGGGGGGGGGTTCAGGTCGAAGTTTTAAGGATCACTTGGGAGAAGACCACCAACCCAATCATTGAGTTCTTCACACGTTCACATCGCCCCTCGATACCGATCAAACGCAAATTCATCTTCCCCAGACCTTCTGGTTCCAAGTATACAAAACCGATCACTTGCTGGCTGTACTCCTCTCGCCCTGATCTCGAACTTGTTCGGACTAAGAACTTGATTCTAGATGTCCCTGGCGGCGGGTTCATTGCGATGAGGTGCGCATCTTGAGCCAGCTTTTACTTAGCGTGAAAGCTTATGTTTTTACTCCCTCCCCCTTGTCTATAGCCCTTTTCATCATGAAGAAAGGATCATTCAATGGACGATCAAGACTGGTATCCCCATCCTGTCGATCGACTATTGCAAAGCGCCTGAATATCCATTTCCTTATGCTATTCATGAATGCATGGATGTTTATCGTATAATCCAGGAATCGAAGGGGAGGGTCATCGGCATGGGCAGAGATATGGTGGACATTGTACTTACGGGGGATTCGGCGTAAGTAATAGTTTGATCAACGATGTATCCCACTTCTTCCTTTCCAAACTTCCCACCAAGACTTAATTCCTCATCGAGTATCTGAATACAGGGGCGCCAATTTGTCAGCTGCGATGATTATATCAATTCTTGAATCAAGTCCCGATTCGCCTTTCCACTCACTTCCTCTACCAGTGGGTATTCTTTGGCTATATGCTGCATTGGATTTTAATTTCACGTCCTGGATGTCACCGGAGAACCTAAGAATTCTCAGAAGAGGCAACTCATCGTCTAACTTACCCGAAGGCATTCTAGAAGCCAAGAGCCATCTAAATCACAAGAGCCCTTTGAGTGTCGTCGACGACCGAGTTCATCATGACGGCGAACTGACTAGCCGAGGTATGAAAAAGAAGTTCCGAAAAAGTATCGCCAACTTGCCCAGTATGGTAGCCACTTGGAAGCGAGCCTTGACACCCAAGGTCGAGCGAAGCCTTTCAGATGTTGAATTGAAATTGACCGCTGCCGAGGCCTCAGATGCTTTCGATGGAAATCCTAGTAGTAGTACGGCGCTGGGCGAAGAATTAAATTACAGTTCTCCGAGCGGGGACAATGAAAAGTCGTTGGGAGAGAGGGTACTTTTCCACGAGGAAGAGTTTTCGAAATTCGAAGCCTCAGTAGATGTTGAGCAACAAACGCTCGAACTCACCGATAGCAACGAAGCGGCCTTGCCACTTCCACAGACTCGGGCTCAAAGAAAGGCGTTTGGAACTCATTTGACAATGACCAGCAGAACTGGCTTCTTCAATGATAGAATCATCAGCCCCTCAATGGTAATAGCACCTCATTTTTCTTGATGAAAGCATGAAGCAGGTTCGCTGATACCAAAACAATACTATGATGTATCTATAGATGCGATGTATGGCGATTTGCTATGTTGGACCTCGTAACGCACCTGATCTTACAAAGGATCACCATATTTCACCCATCTTCACACCTTCCTCCATTTTAGCTAGATTCCCTCCAGTTTATCTGGTGTGCGGTGAAAAAGACCCCTTTGTGGATGACACCGTAATCATAGCTGGAAAAATTAGAGAAGCCAAGCAACAACGCAAAAGGGAGGCTTTGGTAAAGCTTCATAGAGGGAATGTCGATCCCGATTGTACTCCCCCAATGAAACTAGACCCGATCTTGGACGAGGAAGAATCAGATTGGGTACAAATGCGGTGCGTATGATTGATAAGCGTCTGATTTATTGCATGTTTACCAATCTTACAATGATTTTTCCGTCCATGATAGAATTTTTGAAGGTTGGAGTCATGGATTCGCCCAGATGCTATCTCTGCTACCTGAAGTTAGCACAGCCTTTGATTTAACTGCAGATTTCATGTTGTCTGCATTTCAGAAACATGATGCTAGGATGCAAGCGAAGCCCACGTCACTCCAAGTGCCCTCAACAAGTATTGCGGCGCCAGTCCCCAAGCCCCATCTGAAGCCTTCATTCGACTCAAACGATGATGAGGCGTTAACGTTTACACCACGACTCAGGGCACGTGCTGAATCCAGTTCACGGTCGGCCTCTCCCTCGCCCCGTTTGTTGAACAACAGGCCAACTAGGTCTTCCAGCGGTCTTGGGAGTGGACTTTCTAGCTCACCAACACAGCGCCCACTACTCCCAGCTTTGCGCATATCTCAGGGGCAATCCCAATCATCTACTGAAATCAACCTTGTGACTCCAACCTCTGCAAAATCTCCGGCTAGGATAGAAAGAATAGCAACTCCGAAAGCCTTGGTCGATTTCAATGTGGCATCGGCAGCTGCAATCGTCACACCTCCCATTCTACCCGCAACTCCTACAGCCATTCTGTCCGGTAGGAAAGAAGGAAACGTTCTAGACGATCATCATGATTTGCTACATCGCAGGCGTGAAGAAGCAGGCTATGGCCTCCCGCCGATGAAAACACCAGAAGATCATTTCAAACCACTCGAGTTAAGTAATAATTATTCTCCGAGCGAAGGAAGACTCAATGAAAATGAGGCTGAAGGACAGTATGTTGGAGAGAAAGACTTGCTTGAACGAAGGTTGATCGATGCAGCCTATGGGATCACTCAGAGCACTTCTCAATCAAATCCTTCTGGATCTGTTAAAAGTGACCACTAGCTATCCAATCGATTGATTAAAATTTATTTATTTATTCTCCAGTGGGAACTTCTTAGGTAGACGCTTTAGCAGCATTTTTTTAACATTTTCTATGAGCTTACTTTTTTAACATCCATATAAACATATCAATGTACGACTAATAAAGGTTGGAACTCGCACTTTTTTGGAAATTTATGTACAGATATTTTCATTCAAGAAGACACTTAGCAGATCATGATTTATTTTATTTATGATCTATTTGTACTCCTCTATTTATGTACATCAGCTTTCTCTAAGATATTTGTTGTCCTTTTTTATCTATAAATTATGCATGATGTTGGCTGTCTTTGAGCAAAAATAAATTCTGCTAGGTTTTTATCATCCACATACCCTAGTTGACATGCTTTCTTGTTACCATTATGTAGGGAAAGGTGAGGTTGGACCTGTAATGAGCAAGATCAAAAAAGGTTGGTGGTCTTGAATTTATTACTTTGTATGACTGTAGGTGAGAAATCATAGAAAATCAAAATTATATGACTTTGGGTTGGTATTTGCCATTTGAATTGACCTGGAATAAAACAGCATATGCTTTGTTTTCAATATTTTATCTTGGCCAATTCCTACATGAAAGAATCAATATAAGGCACTCACTTGGTCTTGAACAACTGACAGAAAAAGAAAAGCTTGAATGAAATTTTGACCAATTGATTTGAGTGTCCAAACCTTTCCACCAAGTACAGCCAGCCCCTTTGACAGAATTCACCATGACAACCGGAGTGTGCAGCTTCAGCATCAGGGAATTCAGGTCTTCCTGTTGAAGGGCACTACAAAACAATCATAACTTGGTCACCTTATGTTACCCTTGGATGTGACAAATCCGTGATTTCTTGTGTTTTATTTTGCAAGATCACTTATGGAATCAAAACTCTTGATTTCGAAATTCAACTCTGATTGCTGCACGGTTCATGAATCATACAGGAAGGCTAGAACTTGTTTTAAATGAGTGAATCACCTCACATCAACAACATTACATACAAAGACTCCTCCCACATTCACATAAGCATCACATGACACAGGGTAGAAAATCTTCTGTTTTTTTCATGATGAAAAGATAACACTTTTGAAATTGCTTTGGTCTATGTCAGCCAATTTTTTGGTCACCGGATGAGAGGATCAAAGGGGTTTCCTGTGTGAATAAGCAGCATTTTGAAGAGTCGTGACCCCTCATCTTTTTGTAATTTTTTTGGTGCTCACACCACTTGAAAAGAGTGTATTTTCTTTCCTGGTCTTTGTTTACCCTCGCATCTGTACTGTCTTGGGTCCTGCCAACGGTGCCACAGAGACGATACGATACGGTATCAGGTGTTTATCTGTATCGTCTCAGAATTTGAATACCCAAAAATACCGGATTTGTGTTGTCTCACTTTCCTGAGACATATACATGTATTGTATTTGAAAAGTGAGAAATGTATTCTGTATCGTCTCACATGACTGATCCCACCAAAACCGTATTTGATACATAAGATATTTGGCCGTATTGAAGAAAAAACGAAAAAACAAAGACGATTTTTTTTTTTTTCATTTTTAAATCCAAATCCGATACAATGCATTTTTTCACCAACCAAGGAAATACTGATACCGGTATCAGGCTCAAAATAAATACGATACGATCCGATACAAATACATGTCTCGTATCTGTTGCACCGTTGGTCCTGCTGCAAATTCTGAAATGGAGCAAACTGCCTATCTAAGAGTAAGACTTGTGTCAGGTCCGGTGAAAGCATGCTTGCAGTAATATTTTCTGTCTGTTAAATCACAGATGCAGTGTACCGCCAGTAAATGCAACGGTATAGTCGCCGCAGCATCAAATGTCAACAATTTGTTTGGGAAATGGAAAGGTATTACATTCCAGATTTTTTAAAGACTTTGTTACGATAGGCTCAGGTTATTTGCATCTCGCTTAGTTATCAATGTGTTATGTGTTCTTAACCAATTTGGACTCTGGGTGAACCAATCTCCCCTACAGAAGGTCAGGTCCAACCGCAGTAGGTATTTCCCCCGCAAGTGGAAGCTGAGCACCGGCAATCTGTTCAGTGATACCGCTCTGGAGAATTTGCCTCACCCAGTAGCAAGAAGCGGGTATTGAACCTAGGTGGGTCACGATGTACCGCGGCTGACTCGGCTCCGCGCCGAGGCTGGATGAAACGGGGAAGAAAGGGCAAAACCTCTGCGCAATCAACCATCTTGACATCTACATAAGAGCCTTGATGGCTAACCTGATGTTTGTGAGTCCCCAGGTTGTTTCACTTTCTCTTGAAGCACCATCAAGCTCATCCCGTAGCAGAATCTCAATATCATCACGGTCTTAAACTTGCTTCAGGCGCAGAACGATAGACATGTTGTTCTTGCGTCTTCTCGTCATAGTTGAGTGTGGTTGCCTTACTCTTTCTTTTTCACAATTGACAAGACAAATGCGCGTTATCTGATACCATGAGATTATTTTGATAGACTTGCACTGTGGCTCGATCCACTTTCTCGATGCCTAGCTACTCCAGGCCTGCCGCCATGGAACCAGGGGGACAACACATCGCTGAACAAACCATCCCCTCTGGAAACCCCGTCGCCGCTAGAAAATCAGTCACCGCTGCACAACGCGACATCTCAGCAAAGGGCGCCAAATCAATCGATCAATCCGATTCCGAGCGCTCAAGTAGGCGGGTGACATTTGCCGTGCATCAGCCGGCACGGGCAACTTACTCGAATCGACTAGCGTTGATCGCCAACACCTTTCAAGTTTCAACTTCCACAGCCCGCGCCATCCAAGCTTTCGCCATCATCATCAGCCTGGTGCTAGGACAATCGATAACTGGCGTCCCTATTCCTTTGTGGATGTGTGTTTTAGTTGGATTGTTAATTTCTCGCGCAACGTTTCCTCCCTAGACTATCAAACAGCCAACACGGAAAACCTACGGTGTCACCATTTGAGTTACTGTTTATGAAGTTGATTTGTTTATCAATCTTTCACAATTTTCACCTTCAAAATGTCGAAACATTCACTTCAATCTGCCTCCGATGCTCCTTCTCTTCATATAAATATCAGTGTATTCTTTTGCAACTCCCCCAGCAATCCGCTAATTGAAACCGCGCTGGAGCATGTGCTTCATCTCAGGTATGCAATTATTAACACGCAGACAAAAGATAAGATTGATACACTGCCCTCATTTATTTTTTTCACAAGTTCACTTGCGCGAATATCGAAAGGTTACGATTTATATACACTTCATTGAGACTTGAGTTGATGGTATCCCGCCTCGTTACCTCATGTGTACTGCTACTGATTACCAGTCAAGGCGAGGAAAATAGCCCGCAACAAGAGCTGTCAAGCGGGGACCTCCAACGTGCTCATCTTTGTGAAGCAGTGCGCGTTGTGTTACTTTTCCCCCGCTTATAAAAGCTGACCCACCGCAGTGAGTTCAAGAATGCCGCTCTTGAGTAATTGCCTCATTTCGGCCAAGAAGTAGGAAGTAACGCGGGTAAACTATCCACACTGAGCTCGCATTGCCATCGAAGCGCCGAAAACAAATTGTGTTGACTGGAGCAGAGCTTCTGTATAGTAGACTATTTTGAAATCTATTCAAAGAGTCTTCGTATAAGCTTGTCTGGTATTTGCGAGTTCCCTCGTTTGATCGTGTCTAGAAAAGTTCATCCTGTGGAAATATCTCGTCATACCATCAATCTTCACTCATCGTTTGATTGATTGATAGAGAGAAAATGTTGCATTTGTGGCTACTTTTTATAGTTGAGTTCGATGACCTTAATTTTGATCTTTTCATTTTGTGGCCCGAATGAGCAGCATACTCAGGTATAACCAAATTTTGTTATTTCGGTAGGTTGACGTTGGCATTGTACCCACGTTCTCGATACCCGTCAGCTCTGATGTCCCAGCTGGTGAAAGGGTATGTGAAAACGCCTGCAAACATGAGCATGCTCTAGGAACATCGGTTTTAGTTTTGGATGATGGGGAAGTGGAGGACCATCCGGATGCGCCTGCTCAATCAATCGGTCAAGAACTTGTTACAAGTTCAAAGCCCATCACTACTGCATCCGCCATCGCGGAATTGCTGGTCACCACTCGGCAGCCCGCCAAAGCTAAAAATACCATTACCGCTGCACGACCCTCCACCCTTGAGGAATCCGTTACTACTGGCAAATCCGCCACCCCGGGAGAACTGGAAATGACCGAGAAACCCGTCGAATCAATGGATAAACCTGAGTCCAAAGACTCGACCGGGGTGTTAAATTTGAATGAGGACACTGTCAAGAACCAGCTGGGGCCACATACTGATACTGCGAATTTCAACCGCTATTTAAACCCATCAATTGATTATTTCAAGAGGGTGCTACATTGTTGGCTTTTGCTTGCCACCATTTCACATGCCTCTTTATCTTTCTTTCCTGAATCTAGAGAATATTTCCTTGATCCTTCTAAGAAAGTGTTCCTGAGCGCTTCTCTACCTTTTTGGGTTTCTTGGTTTGGTGGGTTGCTCTATGTTGCCATATCAGTTACCAAATATAACAAACACCCAATGTAATCTGCACCACCAGTGACTTGTTGGAGTTTTTTTTCCCCTCTGCATATACATTTTGAACCATTTTTTCTTGACTGCATGTATTCCATGAATTTGTTTAGGAAAAATAAACACATCAGAAAAATTGCCAGAGTACACAATGATAATGAAAATAAAATAAGGTGTTTGAATGAGGCAGGCAATAATTTATTGAATTGATGGCCAAACCTTTCCATCCAGATATGACGTCCTACGTATCAAGTAAGCTAGCACGTGCAGAGTCTTTGCAACATCGGAAATTGGTAACCGATGTCTTAAAGATTGACGTCATCTCGACTGTACTTTACAAGTTTTCATCAATGTTTCACTCAACATTTCTCCACGTCGAGATCTGTTTATGTAGATAGAATGAACATGCCCGGCACAAAAGCTGTCCAGCGGGCGGCTTGAAGGTGATCTTTCGTGTCAAGCAATCAGATATGTACAAATCTTGAGTGTGTGCCTCATCCCAGGTAACCAGTGGCAAGTGGCGAGGGAAGGTGGGTCAGTGCCGACGTGACTGGCTCGACTCCTCGCTAAGCTCTGATGAAACGGACAAGAACTCGTTGTGGGGACCAGAGCTCTCTTTGTGCACTGGACCTTCTTTCGTATGTAAATCAAGAGCCTTCCTGGTCTATCTGAAATCCGTGAACTTCCTTTCACCCTATCTTGATCTAGTGCTGGACTGGTTCTACAAGAGCAAAGCTGCACAATTCTCTTCTCTCCCTAATTGCTTCTGATTACGCCGAGAGAAAATATGTTGTGCTTACCACTCGTGCTCTTCACAGTTCAGTTTAATTATCTTTCTCTTATTTACGGATGGTGAGATGGAGATCTAACGCGATCCCGTTTTTCGGATATAGGTCTGCGCTGTCATTGTACCCACAATCTCGATGCCCGTCGGCTTGGATGATATCCCTGCTGAAAGAGTATGTCAAGACACCGAATACAAACATGGGGTAGTAAATGAACGGAATGGGCTTGGTCCATCAACCAGCAAAGAACTCATCGCCAGTGCAAAACCCATCGAGCCTGTCTATAACGGGGATGATCTATTGGCCACCCAGGGACTCATCCCAGCTGAAAAGTCCATCGCCGCTGGACAACCTGCTACCACTGAACAATCCCATGTTGCTAAAACACCTGTCGAATCATTAGATGGCCTCCTCAAGCCTCAAGGCCCAACCGGGTCATCCTTGTATTCAACTGATGAGCTTGTTGAGCATGGACTGGCGCAAGTACATCCCTCAAATCGTCACACTGAGATTGCCAATCGCAATGGTCTTCTAGCTTGGCAATCTGACTACCTCAAAGAGGCACTGTCCTGCTTGACTGTCTTTGGGATAACTCACTTTGTTTTTTGGCATGGATTTCCCGAATCAAGAGAATACTTCCTCGACCCCTCTAAGAAGGTCTTCTTGAACGGCTCTCTGAAGTTTTGGACTTGTGTGTTGAGTGGAGGACTGCATGTTCTCCTATCCATACTTTCCAAAAAAATTCCTGAATGAAGGAAATCAACAGTACTTATTTGTGGTTTTTCACTTTTGGAAATTTATACTTGATGACATTTTTTAATTAATCAGACTGCATGATCAGTTACTGTATCAACTATGTATCTTGATCCTGATCAACCAATTGTTTGATATATCCACCACCCATGTTGGGGTCTAGCACTATCTCAATGATAAAATCCAGATACTTTATATAGTCAGGACCAGTTTTTTAAAACCAAGTGGAATTTAAGTTTGAAATTATACAGTAAAGAAATCTGAAGAAGAGCCACACAAGTACATAAGGATAATAGGCAGATTGTTTGAGTACATATTTAAGCTTTGTTTTTTTTTTGGGGGGGGGGGGTAAATCTTCTGAGTTGTTCTGAAACAGACATCTTGGAATATGAAATTATGTATCAGGATAACGGATCAGATGAAGAAGGGAGGAAATCATTGAGGAATGAAGACTTGTTTGATTTCCTCTGACTGCTGGTGAATTGATGTTGGAGGATGCTGTTTCTGTATGTATGGGTTGATTGAGTGTGTATGGTTTATGGGGATATGTGGAGATGGAAAAAACAGAAAACAAAAACACAAAAAAACAAAAACACAACAGAAATGATGGGAAAAGTTCAAGATCTTGCCAATCCCACACTCAGACCAACCAAAACCACACCCACCACCACCACCATCAAATCACATTCCAACCACCACCACCACCACCACCACGAGTCAAGAGAGAGAGAGAGATAGGATTCCCCAGGATGGCTTGGATGAGCACATTGGCTAGTATTGGAATAGGTATCTACATATATATCATTTTTATCTCCTCATTATCATCAACTTACACATCTTTTTTCGTTAATTCAACTCACCACCCTTGGTTCTCTTGACCTCTTTGTTTTCGTCACCTTGAACCAGCCTTAGGATCTCCATTGGTCTATCTCGATCAATACCGTTGAGTACTCCTACATCTTCTAACTTTATCTCTCTTTCAAATACTGAATTATGACTGATTCCTTTCTTTTGATTTTTTGTGGAGTTTAGTGTCGATCCAAAAGACGCAGAGTTCGCAAGGGTTTTCGCATCTGATCTGTGTAGTTCTTCTGTCCGTATATTCTTCTTTTGTTTCATAAATAAAGAAAACTGAGGAAGGAATCCAGCTAATTGAGACATTTATTTTTCTTTTCTCTGGGGCATGTTTACGGACTAGGATAGCCAATATTACGCGATTGTTTTACTGGCTTGGGGAGAGATTTGACACGGCCCTACTAGTGCAATCGATTCTAATGATCATAGCTCAACTCGGCCTACTAAGGATCTGTCTGAAGTATACTCCAACAAACCCCACCAGTCGACCGCTCGAAGATCAGGAGAGCTGTATACCGGACGGGAGCTTACGATACGATGACCATCCCGAGCAGGTCTTCCAGTCCTCCGGAACAGAACCTCTCAGGAGCAGATCGCCTCCGACTATCATCAATAATAATAATCACAATCACCAGACTGTCGATCTCAGCACTCAACAACCTCCTTTCTCTATCAATCGCTCTTCCCCTCACTCCTTCGATCATTATATCGACTTCTTCGCTCTCTTGTTTGCCGTCGAAGCCGCCCTCTTTATCCTCTTTCAACGATATGACTGGTTTATTCAAGCCATCGGTTTCTTCTCTCTGGGGCTCGAAAGCACGGTACATATTCATACACCTCACAACCTCCCCACCAATCAATAAACTCATTGCTTTCTTTTCCCATCTGTGACTCAACATTCTTAAGTTACCAATCCCACAATTAATCACTAACTTTCGTAGGAAATCTCTAGCTGGACTGAGTTCGATGGTCTTGTTTGGCTGGCTATTCGGAGATAGTTTCAAATCGATCTATCTAGTCTTCGTTACTCCCGATTCGAATTCAATCCAATTCAAGATCTGGTCAGTTATCAGTTCTTCTGTTTGTGCAGAATCAACTACATACATACAATCAACAAAAGAAAGAGAAACTGACGTCTTACTTTCGACTTCAAAAGTGCATTATTTCAACTCTCGATCGATATCTTAATCCTAACCCAAGCATTAATCTATCGACGGCAGACCAAGCTAGATTCGATCGAACTCGAAGGCTCTCCTGATCACCCCGCGCCTTCATCAATGGGCATGCCACCAGATCTAGTCGACCATCCCGACCAGTCTGCTCATGATCCTCGCTCTCGGTTGATGATCGTCGATGACTCCGCCCATGTCGTCTGATCATTGATCCCCTCTCTCCTTCGACATATCTCTTGTATTCCTCTCCTTTCCTCTCCTCCTTCATTCCTCTACCGACCTATAGATGACTTGCCTTTATATATAGGCAAGTCAACCAAAATGATAAATTGTATTATCTCTCCTAGCATCTTGTATTTCTCTGTGGATTGTCATTTTTTTGTTTCCAGTTATCTGTATTCATCTAAACTTTTCTCTCTTTTTTTTCAAATTCATCTACATAATACATGCACTCATTCATGAGGATAGAGAATTGAGAATTTGAGAAGTGTTGCCGTATTGTTTAGTTGTATGTATGCGGGGTCTCATGGCTAATTGGCTCGAACTCGAGCACTGATCAAGTATGCAGCTGTTTTCCAACGACAACCATCGAGAAGATGGAACAGCCAATGAGCCCAGAAGCACTCTGCGATCGACTGAATATACTCCTCTCGAGCTTGCCGATGTGAGTATCTCCTCATTCTCTCTCTTCTTCTTCTTGATTCTTGTTGATTTTTGCTGTTTTCTTCATTTTCTTCTTCCACAGAACCGAAGTCGAGATCTTCAAAACCCCATCGACTATCACCACCCCGAACCCACACCATCCATTCCTGGTCTATGGAAACCATCAACTGGCTATACCACAGAAGACACTAGCCATCATCTACGCATCCGTCTCGCAACGCTTCCATAGGATCTGCGAGAACAATCCAACGACTGGCCAACAGGACCCAGATGAAGTCTTCCAACTCACCCGGCTCCTGTTGATCCAGAACCCAGACCATCTGACCGCCCTCTCGACTCGCAGGAAACTGATCGATCATCATCTTCCTCGTCATCCTGATCAACTCGCCAAGGAACTCGAGCTTACCAAACTCTTGCTCTCCATCGCTTCCCACTCCAAATCTACCGCACTATGGTTCCATCGACGATGGGCCTTCCACCACCTCTTCCCTCCCTCCACTCTCACTCAACCATCAACAAGGTCTGATGAAGACAAATTCTCGTCGAAGATTTATAGACCTCTAGCTGATCTGCCTCCGCAAGTCCTGAAAGAGGAGCTCGAATTCAGCCTCAAGACATGTGAGCTCTATCCACGGAACTACTACGGCTGGTTCCATCGCAAATGGTTATTCTACCAACTCGTCCACTCGGCCGATCGATCGTCGTCAATGAGGGAAGAGGAAATCGAGGCCGAACGGGTCCGGATCCTAGACTTCATTCGACTCCATCCACGCGACCACTCCGCCGCCAACTACGTCACCTTCCTGCTCTCCTGCGCCCCGCTTCCCTCCGTCCCGTCGGTACCCCATCCAAACCAGCAGCCTGAGCCCTTCGACTCAGTGAGTCCGTTCATCCGCGACTGCTATGCCGCCTTCGCTCAGTACCCTCACTTCGAATCCTCCTGGTCATTCCTCAAGTTCCTCGCCCTCTCGAACACGCTTTCCCTCACCCAATCCTTGACTCTCATCCAGTCCACTCCGATCGTACTCAATCTCCGCAACGCTATCCTTGCTGCCCCTGCCATCCCGGCTCCCTCCTCGCCCACACCCTCTCGTCATCCCGAACACGTCCTCTCCTCGTCTAAAATCACTCTGGCTGACCTCCATGCAGATACGCTTCGTCACTCCCAAACTCTGTGTCTCCGGACTCTCTACTTCTTAGGCTCTCATGTAAGTCTCTCTCTTCGTCGTATTCCTTATCTCCCTCTCGTCCCGTCCTTTTTTTATGTTTGATCATCTAGACTCACTCGTGGCTCATTTTTTTGTGTCGGATCAATTTGTTTTTTCTCGAATCAGTTCAAATGGATCCAATGGACAGACGAGATGGCTCTCTTTCTCCTCAAATTAACCACCCACCATCATCCTTCCTCTTCTTCGTCATGTTTCATTAACAGCATATTTACCTCTGATTCCGATTCGATCCATTTTCTTGACTCTTTAAAAATACTCATCAATCGCTTTCTTCCTTGAGTTCTTCTATCGTCATTATCATATTTTTTTCGCAGTTCTTCAGTTTTCTTTTTGGTGACACATTCTTTTTTTCTTCCCTTCTTCTTTTCGATGGGAAATTAGAACAAACATGATATGATGTTCAATTTTTTTTAGACAAACATGTAAATATACATATTCGAGATTGTATTTTGATGTTTGTAGATATTCATGTACCAGGAGGGACTGTAACGCAAAAGAGTCTTTTGAGAAATCTTCATGGATGTATGCAGCCAGCTTTCAAAACTTCAGAAGTTTTATCGGGTGAAGCACAATACCATTGTGCAGAGCTGGGCAAATCCGCAAGCTACATATAAGGGCTGTTTTTGGATAACCATGTTATACAGAAACATCTTCCAAATGATTATCAGTGATAGGAAAATGTTGAAGGGAGAGTGAGGTATAAGTTTTGAAGCTGAGCATCCTGGAAGACAAACAAGTCCAAACACATCTTAAGTCCATGCAGAGGAGGGCGTGGGGATAAAAAACACCCTCGACTGAGTCACCGGCTCAGCCTGCTGTCCAACAAAACCACCCAACACAACCAACCAACCAACCAACCATCTCTCATCTTCTACTATCAACCAACCAAACATTCAGAAGACTCAGCCGACTTGACAAAACACCACTGCTCAAACCAGACCTGAAACAACTGCCACAGCAAGCATCACTATCATCATCATCATCATCATCCAAGGAGACAGCCAGTCGCCATAGGAAAAGAAAGAGGAGAGTGCGTGCTCGTCGAGTACAAGATTCTAGACCCCAGCTATCGGACGAGATGTCATCGGACTCCTCTTCGATTCACCCCCCTTCGCCCACCTCAGCTTCCACCTCAGCCTTTTCTTCTTCTTCCTCCTCGAGCTCGACAAACACGGCTTCATCGACGACCCCAGCGGCCAGTGGTCGGCCTGCTAAACCGGAATCGACTAGCTCGCATTTGGTCCGAATACTTTATCGCCGGTGGGGGCCGCTGGAGCAATTCCACCAAAATGTAGTCTCCCCCCACTCGCACCGC